CAAAACCAGTGCAAATACCTCTAAAGGCCTGTCCAAACAGGCTACTACAAAAATCGTCAGGCCACACGATTACTGCAAAAGTCGTCAAAATTGAAGCGTCCGGTAGTCGTGGGCCGAATGTCTGTTTGGACAGCGGCCAAGCCAAATTCACGACTTTCCTCCTCGCCCCGTCCACTTTTCTTTGACGTCGGTGCTCGTCAGACTTGACGTCACGCGCCACCTGCCAAAGGCGTGCCTGATGCCTGTCTAGCTACCGCGGCTCACGAAGTCGCCGACCTTGCTACCGCAGTCACCTCGGCAGGAAGGCCAGAGAGGTCCGGCTTCGGGTGGATTTAGGAGATTCCTGCGTCGAAGCGCGCATTTCGGCCGCCCCGTCTCAGCTTTCTTTGTCAAAATCCAAGTTCGTAGCTCGAAAAAATAAAAAATAAAGTGCAGTACGCAACAGTGAGACTTTTTGTTGTATGTAGAAACAGTGAGAACTAAAGAATATATCATTTATTTTATTGAACTCCAAAGCAACCAGGTTTGTGTGTCTATACGAGCTACGTTGGGAACAAGAGCCGCGGGAATCAGATCCAATCCACGGAACTGCTGGAAGATGACAAGATGACACGACCTTGGAAACGACGCACGCTCGCCTGGCTGGTCCTCTCACACTCGAGTCTTCCGTTTCTCGTTTTCGGGACTTGAAAAGCGGCGGAGGCCTTGAGCGATTGACCGACAGCCAACAGAGCGTGTGAGTGGCTCTCCGGACCCACGTGATGAGCAGAGCAAAGCCGCCGTGGAGGAAGCGAGGGGGAGTTTTGACGGGGGGGAAGTTTTCCCCCCCTTCCCGTCAGATTTAACAAAGGGAAATTCCCCGCGGCGGCCGGAAGCGAAGCGCCGCACGGTTTGTCGGAGTCGTGCGTTTTGCAGTATCCTGTTTGGACACCCCTTAAAGGCCGACGTACACGTCGCGCCTTCCCCTTTTTCCCACCTCCTCCTTTCCTATACCCTCTCCACTTTTTACCTTGCCCCAACCTGGCTCCCCCTCGCAGCTTAGGGGAGGGTAGCGCTAAGAGGATTATCCTCCGTGCAGAAAACGTAGGTTGTACGTCGGCCTTGAAGGAATGTATTCTGGGTAAAAGAAGGGTGTAAAGAAAATGTTTTTTTTTTGTTTGTTTTTTATACAGCGTATTGAAATTGAACGAAAAGTGAAAGGCTTCGATCTGTTTCATAATTTATCTCTCAGTGCTCGTACATAATAAAGGCACAAACTTTCCTTAATTTAGAAGGCAATGAAAGGTTCTACACGTGGTATTATTCTAAAAGAGATACTAAACATAATCAACTAAAAAAAATCCGCAATTTAGGTCACAGTTGTTCGCGGGGGCATGTTTGGGGATATTTACAAAGATTGGAGCAACGAATAAGTAAATAGTAATTATAATGTCGTTTTACCTACTTGCATATATATCACACTAAAAATATATAGACGCTTTCTTTTCAATACTTTGAGATTGAGAGTGATTCAAAAACGCCACACGCGACAATCGTCAAAACCTCGTCGCTCTTTCCCGCCTCTTTGAGATTTTTTTCTCAGAAACTAAACATGTTAGGACATTAAAATAAAAAGGATTGTTCTTCTTGGAACATGCACCACGATATATAAAAATGTGAAGCAAAATAAAAATCGTTGCCAAATGAAAGCGACCAGGTAGAAGGGAAAAAAACGTTTTTACCTATGTTTAGTGTTTTTTAACCAGATGTATCTTTTAACATGGCAGATTGACTGATCAATTCGTCCGATCACTGATAACAATGCGGAAGATGAACTGTATATATATAAAGTACAAGTTAGTCAACGTTTTATTGCTGTAAAAACAGCTTGATTTTTTTTTAGCTAGAACAACTTCATATTGCTCCTCTTTCGTGTTGATTTAGTTGCAATAGGGCATTACTTTTCTAGTTATTTTTTGTGTTCTGATTTTGTTGCGATAAGGCGTTATATAGCTGATGAACGAAGTGGAGAGCAGAAATCAAGCTCAACACTTCGATTTGCTCAGAAGAGCACTTCGTTTTGGTCGTGTTCAGCCTGCTACAAGTCTTTCTGGATTGCTGATACTTTGAATGAAACACAAAAGAAGTGTATATACATAGAAATCACTAAATGGTAGACGGATGTAAAAGGAAAACATTCACGGGATTATTTATGGCGAAAAGGTTTTATTTATTCCAGGGCTCTCCAAACCCTGACCCGCGGGCCAGATCCGTCGCGTGGAGGCGCTCAGCCCGGCCAGTCCGGCCCGGGGATGGCCGGGGTCTTTCCAGTGGCGCCCGGCCGGTGGTCCCCTGCTACAAACGCAAAAATAAACACGTAAAAAGAACAGCGCTATGACGCGTTTTTAAACCGCAAACGAAGATGCCAGAAAGAATGAGAAAGTCTGCATCAAAACGCGGGTTCTCTCGCCATATTATGTGTTACACATTATCATCACCAACATTCCTAGTATTCGTAGTACCCTGTTTCATGTCTGTGTAACTATGATCTGTGTAATAACTCTTGCATATTGTCAGCATCAGATCTTTTATTCTCATTTGCCTACTGTTTTGTGGTATTATGCCAAAGTTCATATGCGCTTTGATTTGAGTGTAGCCCGAAACAGCCCATTCCCGTTTAAACCCGTTCCATTTCGACCCATCCCCGAATCAACCTTCCCGTTTAAACCCGTCCCATTTCGACCCATTCACAAATCGACCTTCCCGTTTGAACCCGTCCCGTGTCGTCCTATTCCTGAAACGCCCTTCTCATTTGAATCCGTCCCGTTTCAACCGATACCCGAAAGACCCTTTGCGTTTGAACCCGTCCATTTTCAAGCCATTTGTATAAGACCCTGCGCGTCACAACCTCTTTGCGAAAAGTCTAATCGTTCTAACCCTGGTCTGCGCACATTTTCTGCTTAAAGAGTAAAGAGACAATGAAGGCGATTTCAGATATTTTTTTGTCGATTGAACTGGGTTCCAGGCACGTCTCAGGCCATGTTGCCCAATTACCCGAAACCGGCACTTGTGTGCCACGCAAATCAATTAAACAGTCGCGGTAATAATCGTACCGGGATCGACTGTGGCGACGCCCCGAGAGTTGCGGGAGAAGCCAGGAGAAGCGGAGCTCACGTGACCGATGCGGGGCCAAGAAGCGCGACGTCACAAGAGACGCGTCAGCGATTGGTCGGAACGAGAGACGTGCCCTCGGTCACGTTTTGGGTCGCGATTTTTAAGAATACTGTTCTAATTTACGCTTGAATAACCATGGAATGTATAAATCGGACCGGAAATGATTACTAAATCGTAAATAAAACAGCATAATTGTTTTTCTTTTTGCTACAATGGACGCGAAACGAGCAATTATGCGCAAACAAAATAAAATTTAAAAAAGAACACGCGGGCGACGTTTGCTTTTGGTTTCAGATGTCGGTGTCGTGTTTACTTTGGGAACATGGTACTCGAAGGATTCCGCAAAATGGTAGTCATGTCAAATTTGTGCGCTGTAGATGGCTGTTCTAACGGTCGACTGCAGACCAGTATTCCTTCGGGCGACGCTAGTTTACACGTGTGGGTTGCTGTTCGTGTTCTTTGACGACGAAAACAGAGGACGTCCGACTTTGGTGAAAACCAAAAATGGTGCTGTTTATTTTCTCCATTTTGGGGAGCGTCCCTCGCGGACGAACCGGTTCTGGAAACGAGTAGCTGCTGCTTTCCCCTCGGCATCTCCCCCGCGTCCCTGTCCTTCGGCAACGCGCCACTCTCGTCTCGCCCGCGTAAATGTTGCTCACTGCTGCCCTGCTCGGAACCTGCGAGCCTCTCGTTGCCGGCTGGGCGGTCTCCGTCGGGTGATGGCGGAGGCCGTCAAACACGTACTCCTGTTCCGTTGGTGTTAGGTCACTGAACGGAAGCCCGAACTCGCTCGCGAGAGCGGCATTGTCGTCCACGTTGACAGATCCGACAAAACGACCGCGCCACCGCGCTGCTATAACCCACCGCGCTAACCAGAGTCTCGATTTCCTAAATACTACCGATACCTACTATTCACACTTGACGTCACTCCCTACGTCACCTCTGCCTTCGGAGGCCCAGAAATGAGGATGGAGATAGTTCGGTTTCGGTTTCTTCAGTTCTTTCGTATGTACAGAAATACGCGTCACAGATGCCTACAAAATACTTGGCAGCGTGCTAAGTTCCCAAGAAGCCTAAAAACACCATTAAAAATTAAATAAAATCGTCTTAATTGTCCGTTTAAGAATATATGTTCTGAAATATTATTGCATGCCAATGTATTATGCACCACTTTCCGGTAAGCTTCGTAGTAATATATTATTCTTAATGCAACCACTTAAAGTGTTTTTGTTCTTATTTCAAGATGATCCCCATGACGTGCAACCGCGAAACGGTCTATGTACATTCTGCGACATCGTTACAGCAAAGACGACCTTGTCGCTTTTTTTTTTTTTAATTTTAGTTCGTAATGGTATTAGCAGACACCAAATTTTGGGGCTTAGGGTACTGGCTCAGATGAGCACTTCCAAAGACAGTACAGTGTAATCCACTTATAACGATACCAGATATAACGATATATCGCTTATAGCGATCAAATTTTTTAGATTTGTCAATTCTCCCATCGCCCCTATGTAAAAATAAACCATATATAACGATAGAATTATCGGCGACATATCGGATACAACGATAGAATTCTGGCCGCCCGGAAGGTGCTTATCACGAAAAATTTGCCTGGAAATTTGAGAAAAATTAAAATACTTGAAGCGAACGACATGAAAACTAGTAAAAATATCAAAAACCGGTCGGCGTGGAAAGATCCGCTAGGTGACGCGAGGCGCCGCCCGATTTAAAAAGTTCAGCCTCATCCTTCGGAACTAAGTGCTATCGTCATCGCAATCGCTGAAGGGAGGAGAGAAAGAGCTTGCTTGGCCGCCGCCGCGCAACGCTTCCTAGTTTTCCTGGTTTTCCCCCGTTTCCGCACGTTCGTACGTTCGTGAGGTAAAAATGGCGCCGACTAAGCGCAAAGCGATATCTCTGGAGGTGAAGCAGCGAATTCACCGGGATTTCCGACAAGGATTCAAGGTTGGTAGCCTCGCAAAAAGATACGAGCTGTCTCAATCAACGATTTCTACAATCATCAAGGCTGGAGATGTCTTGAAGAAGGCTGGCACCAGCGGTCACGACGACCAGCGAAAGCGGGTTAGGGATCCTTTGTACGGCGACGTTGAAGACTCCCTGTACCAGTGGTTCTTGACCACTCGCAACCGGAACGTGCCCATAAGTGGACCTATTCTTGCCGCAAAGGCGAAGAAATTTGCTTCCCTTCTGGGACGGGAAAACTTCGAACCCGGCGGAGGATGGATTCAGCGGTTCAAGGATCGCCACGGCATCGTTTATAAAAACGTCGTCGGGGAGGCTGCCTCGCTGGACGTAAATGCGAAAGACGAATGGCTGGCGACGAAATTACCCGAGCTGTTGGAGCGCTTCCAAGAAAGTGACATTTTCAACGGCGATGAAACAGCACTCTTTTATGAGATGCTGCCTACAAAGACGCACGCGCTGAAAGGTGACCCGTGCGTTGGTGGCAAACATAGCAAGGTCCGGGTGACGGTGTTTGTGTGCGCAAACATGGACGGTACCGAGCGTCTCAAGCCCTTTGTGATCGGGAAATCGAAAAGGCCTCACTGCTTTAGGAATCAATGCATTCCAGTCCGCTATCGAAATAACAAGAAAGCGTGGATGACGCGAGATCTCTTTGAGGAATGGCTCCTCGAGTTTGACGGCGCTATGGAGAAGCAGAAGAGGAAAGTGGTGCTGCTCCTCGACAACTGCAGCGCACACAACGTCAGCCCGAAGCTAACGTCCGTTGAGGTAATGTTTCTGCCTCCGAACACCACGGCAGGTCTGCAGCCCATGGATGCCGGCGTAATCGCCAATTTCAAGGCCCTCTACAGACGTCGCATGCTGGAATGGCTCATCATGAAACTAGACTGCTCAGGATTGTCTCAATACGCCGGCGGACCTCCTGACCTGAAGGTGAGCTTGTTAGAAGCGGTGCGGTTCGTGCATGGTGCGTGGTATGAGGTGAAGCAGGTTACACTCAAGAACTGTTTTAAAAAGGCAGGCTTCGTGCGCCACAACGCCACGGTCTCGGAAGAGACAAATGACTTGCTCATCGAACCTGCCGATGTGGGTGAACTTTGGGACCACATAGCAGCTTCCGAGGAGAACATCGGCGGAGCTCTCTTGGGAGACTTTTTGAACGCGGACAACGCTGCCGCTTCATGCGAGGAGTCTACTGATGAGGCCATTGCCGAGGAACAGCAATCGCGACGAAAAATCACATCGAGCGACTGCGAAAGTAGTGACGACGACGGCGGCGACGAGAACACCCCGCCTCCAATGTCTTCACAAAATGCCCTGCTCTCCATCCAGTCGCTGGTCGGTTTTGTGCACGCAAAAGGACTGCCGCCAGCGTACGCGCAACAACTGGAAGCAATGCACACGGCAATTGTCAAACTTCAGCTCAAGCAAGCGCAAATTTCCGACTTTTTTAAGCATGCTTAAATTATTTTATAGTCATTTTCGTACCTTTTAATAAAGCCTTCGGTTTTCTTTGCCTCGGCTCGCGTTGTACGACCTGATTCACTCATCGCCCGTAAGTAACTTCTCTTTGTGTTTTTTTTTTGTCGGTCCAGATATAACGATAATCGGCTATAACGATTGGATTTTGCGGTTTTCTCAATATCGTTATAAGTGGACTGCACTTAATAGTTTTTATGGCAACCTTTTAATTATACGTGATAAACAGCAACACCACCGATCGCTTGTTCGCGCTACGTACAATAATGAAGTCTTGTGTACACAAGCACATTGGGTAACCTAGAATTAGCGTCGCCATCAGTACGCTATTTTTAAGTTACCCAAAGTGCTTGCGGACGTTATTCTAAAACCTCATATTAGTGATCTTGATATTTTGGAGAGCGATATAGATTAGACCGGGTGGCAGACATATGATTGCGACTTTATTTTCTTTTACAATTTCAAACAGTGAACACTCGCGTACACAGAAAAACATCAAAGACCAGAAAATGCCTTCGCCTTGTTGAGAAAGTTAAATAGGGAAATCGTGCCATCAGAAAGGCGACACTCCAGTTGTGATAGTTCGCGGTCCTTGCCGACCCACTTGTGCCTCCTGGCCCCACACAGCACCACTATTTGCAAGTTGATGCAAATAGTGGTAACAAACGATGGCCGAAGTGGGAAGGTTGTTTCGGGATAGGTCGAAATGGGAAAGGATGAAACGAGAAGGTCGTTTTGAGCCGGGTCGGAACGGGAAGGTTAAGTCGGGAATGGGTCGAAACGGGAAACACCCGTTTAATTTATGACTGCGAATGCCATAATTAGGAACACATTGGATTTAAAAATAAATTATACATATGCATTCACATCCACCTATCTTTCTTAAGTTTTGCTCTAGTTTAAATTTGTGTATTAAACTGCGTATTAATTGTTATTTAGTATCTCCTTACTTATGTCGTGTTACCTGGAGATCTATGTTGCACTCTAAGAAAAAAGGTGGAGAAAGGTAGCAACAGCAACTGTTCCTCCTTGTTGCGGACAATTTGCCCAGAGAAGGGAGGAACGGAAGTTCAGATGAAAGGAGGAGGTCGAGTTGCTCCTTGTTCAGTTGGTGTGATTCTTTTTTCGAACGCCGAGGCGCGCGGTCAAGGAATCATGAGCTCCAGCGGAGCGCGTTCTACGGCTTACCCTAGCCGGGTTCCAACAGGTATTTCGGAATATTTGACTCCCCAGGACTACCGTATCATCCTGCCTACGCTGCCAACAGGTCGTTATTCTTTTAATTCAGTCTTTCTACCTGGCGACCCATCAGCGAGACCGTATCGCATCGACGACTTTCGCGACGTTCTGAAGGACGTCGTTGACATGAATGTCGTGGCCGGCTTCGGTGCCTTCCAGTACAACCACGTTTGGATGCTCACCCTGCACAACGCGGCAGCGAGGGAGAAGTTGCTACATGCGGCAGTGCTCAACGTCAAGGGCAAGACCTGCCTGGTCATCGATCCGAATGTGAGTGAGAAATCATTCAAAGTTCATTGGGTTCCCGTCTCCGTTCCCGACGAAGCTGTGCAAAAGACGTTCGAGCCGCACGGTAAAGTGAAATCAATCGTGCACGAGAGGTTGAGACAACAACGCGAACAGTCACGATGGTGCTCAAGGAAGGCATCACAGTGGACGCTATCCCGCATCAAATCGACATCCTCGAAATGCCAGCGTTGGTGTCCATTCCAGGCCGCCCACCTCAGTGCTTACGGTGCAAGAAGGTAGGACACATGCGCAAGCAGTGTCGCATTCCGTGGTGCAAGACATGCCGCACTTACGTACATGAGGAGGACAACTGTATTCAAACGTCCGCGGCAAAAACGAGACCTCCAACTGAACTGCAGGACGTCGATAACCTGATGGACCAAGATGAAATGGAGGAGACCATTGCCGCGACTCCGACAGGGAAGGCGTCTGAATTGTCAACTGACGTCGTCGGAACAGCCGACTCAGCACCACCAGCAAGCAGCGTCGCAGAAGTATAGATGGCAGAGACGCCGCCGCCGAAGACAGGAGAGAACTCGCAAGCAGGACAAGTCACACCATAATCGGTTGAGATGAAGGACGAGGAAAACAGAAAGGCCAGCGGGGCAGATGGCAACCCGGATCAAGAAGTCACCGGAGTGGAAGCGCCAATTAAAAGGAAGGGAGAGCGATCAACGGGAAAAAACTCCAGCGCGTGCGACTGCGGCTGACCAACGAGTTACTCTTGTGACTCGCAAGCATTGGAAGAAAGGCACCGAACCTCAAGGCCAACCATAGTTGACAGACCGGGGTGCTTCAGCACTTGAAGAAACAGCCTTCAAAGATTGACAACGTTCTGCCAAACGTGTACGTCCCAACTCCAACACTTTATTGAATGACTAAAAACTCGAATCCTTTGAATATTGCAACCTTAACGCTGTTAGTACTGTTGCATGTAAACGTAAGAAATCTACTCAGTCTGCTGCTCGAAAAACGCATAGATATTGCTTTCATTCAGGAAACAAGAATCTCCACGTATGAGCAGGCAAAAGACTTCGTGCAGTACTTTGGACACGTGTTTTGGTGTTTTCACACATTGACTCTTGGCAATCCGTCTGGAGGAACGGCGGTGCTCGTCAAAAAGAAAAAGTGTTTTTCCGTTGTTGATTGTGAGCTTGGCGCGGACGGTCGCGTAAGCAGAGTTGACTGCCTCGTTAAAAATGAACTAGTTCGTCTAGTGTCGGTTTATGCACCGAATGATTCTGCTGAACGCTGTCTTTTCTTCAAGTCTTTGATACGAATCTTGGACACGCCTGGAAAAGTCATTCTAGGCGGAGACTTTAACTGCGTGCTATCTAACCGTGACCGCTCTAACCACGCTGCAATAAGCGACTCGAGTGCAACTAAGCTGAAGAGCGTGTTAGAGCAGTTTGACCTGGTTGACGTCACAAGCCCGCTGAAAGATTTTTCTCCTCGCTTTACGCATTGGCAGGGAGCATCTCACGCCCGCCTTGACAGACTTTACGTGTCAAGCGAGATGCTGAATCAGGTGGAGGGGTACAGGGCTGACGCGGTCTCGTTCCCTGATCAGGCGCTGTTTTCCTTCCTCTTAAGTCTGAAGCAAAAACTCGCAGCAAGGCACGTAATGGAAGCTGGAAAATGAACATGAGCATTTTAGAAGACGAAGAATTTGCTTCGATGGTGAAAGAAAAGATTGAGGTACTTGGCAATGAAACTCCGCTAGATGCCTGCGTGTGGGAGAACTTCAAATTGGAGTTGAAGGAACTTGCAACTGACTTTTCGCAGAAGCGACAGCTCGAGCGCACGCGAGAGCTAGAAAAGAGCGTTGGTCTAGTCCCTTAAAGGGACACTGACAGGGTATTTATGCTCGCCGAGGTTTTTAGTTGTACGTGACATATGAGAGCTCAACTACCCAGAACAGAATTTGCGGTTTGAAATTCGGTTTGTTTCCGCCCGAAAACCGCCGATCAAGAACTGGCCGGTTCGAGTCTCGCTCACTGTCTTTTCCGCGGTCACGGGCCGTTTTCTAAGGTATCGATGCGACCACCAAATTTAATCAAAGTCGTGGGTCACTGAAGGCACACACTCAATATTAAAAATATAAAAAATATGAAACCCATTTTTTGTGGCTTCTAAAAAGCTGTAAATACGTTGATTGAAAAAAAAAAAGTTCCACAGACAACCGGAAGCATTCTGTGCTTTCGTCGTTTCGCGTATCGTGGGACTCGCGGGGACGGCGATGGCAGCGGACGACGGGCGTGGGACCTCTATTTCAGAACTGTCGTTCGCGGTACCGGCGAATTCTGTCTACCGTTAAAAGAGAAATTTGGGACTGATCAAAAGAATTGGTATTCATCCCGTACGTGTGACACGCCCGGCCACCAAGCCGATTTGCACGATGACGTCGCCAAGCCGTCGCTCCCTTCTCGTGGCTGAAGACATCGTTCGCGCAAACGTCAAGCACGACGTGTCTACTTCGAGTTGAATATGCACGCGTACGATTTCTTTACTAGGTGCGAATTTCCCCAAAGCGTGGTGCTTCCCGACTTCGACTTGGGAGTGCTTTTGCTAGAGAAAAATCGACAGAAAACTTTCCAACTTACAGTTTACGGGCTCAATTGCTACTAAGGAAAGAGATCCACCAGAAATGAGATGCCCCAGTAGCTCAGTGGGAAGGACGTCCGGTTAACATGCGGGAGGACCGGGTCCGATCCCCTGTGAAACCTTTTTTTTTTTTTTTCAAACATTTTTTGATGTTTACATATCTTTTTCTTTTTTTACAATCATCACTGAAGAAACAAACAAAAAAAATAACAAACAAATGTTGTGGACGATACTTCGCTGAATTAAATGGTATGGGATTTCTGTTTTGACACCTGCGAACTCAATGTAATCACTTTCCACAAAATGCAAGGAGCATATAAATCAGGTAGCGTCCGCTTTCCGAGGTGCCCGTATATGTTTTACAGGAATTGCTGCCAGCCATTGGTCCCGATCCCGTTGATCTTTCGGAAACTATGTCGCACAATGCCACTTTTTTTCGGATGCAGGAAATGTGAGCCAGCTCTTCACGCAACATCTTGGGTGTATTCGTTTCGGAGCCGATCATGGAAATTCACCACGGGCACTCACTACTCATCTCCAACTCGTCAATGTACAAAACAACTCATCTTGGAGTACAGAACAACGAGCGGAACAAACATAACTGCAAAAGGATCGCACGGCGAGCAGTTCCCTCACGCCGCATCCCACGCCGCATGTCGTGTCGTCTGCTACCGGAGAGGAGAAAAAAAAACAAAAAAACGCACGGTCGGGTGTAGCCACGTGACTTCCGCCACTCGCTCTCTTCTCTCCACTTCTCCGACCTCCGTCGGGTTTCGGTTTCGGTTTCGAACAGTTGCGTCTTTTGGCTTTATTAAAAAAATACGCTACTCTGTTGCAAAATATTAATTGGGTAGTCCTCCGACACCATAATGAAGCGCCTGGCACAAAATTAAAAAAAAATTTTGGGGGGTGT